GCTATCTCATCTCTCATCTTATAGCCTGAAAATGCACCAAAAGATGAAATTACTTCAACAAGACGGGGGAGGGAAGTTTCAGGTTGGGATAAGAGCACCAATCGGCATATAAAAAGATTTGATGTATCTTCTCTTTAACACGAATACCAGAAATTAAAACATCCTGTCTTCCGGCCCGGGCCAGTGGTTCTATGGCTATATCAAAGAGTAGAGGACTAAGAGGATCGCCCTGCCTATTTCCACAGCGGAGAGGAAAACTGCTGGAGTGCATCCCGTTAGCTATAACCGCTGCGACTGGGGAGTTATAGAGAACTTTCACCCAATTTACAACGATTTCACCCAATCCAAATTTCTCTAAGGCAAAAAACAGATACGACCATTCAACGCAATTGAACACAAGAATTTTGTGAAAGATGAATAACATTAAGAAGTTTCCTCATGTTATCAGAGGATTTGCGGCCTTTAACAAAACCTGTTTGATCCTCATTAATTATATAGGGGAGTACCTTCTCGAGTCGCAGGGCTAATATCTTAGAGATATTAGCACGGATGCAGCACGGACTACACTGCCCATGAGGCTACATTGTTTAGGGCGATGCCTTTTGCCTTCATATTAAATCATTTTTTGCATAATAATTTTTAAAATTATTTCTTCACTCACGGGCCGTAAGTAGTGGTGACATGGGCCGCGAGATTGAGACACAGGCATTAGAGCTTCTTATTGCGTGTTTTGTTTGGGTTTCCACTGGGTGTTCTGGGAATCCATCCTACCTGACAAACCATCCTACCTGTTGTTTCTGCGAAATTAAGTGCCAAACCATACCTTTGTGAATGTTACCTACAAGCATACTTTAACGGGTAGAATGAAGTGGCAAACCATCCAGGCTTTATGAATATGAGCTACAAGCATACTCTGATGGGCAAAGTGGCAGTGCTGGAATTACTCTGTGACAGCAGAAATGTGCATAAACTACTTACAGTAGGACGTTTTGCCAAAGTAGGATGGTTTATCAGAACTGCGTGGAATTAACAAAAATAGAGAGGGGGCAGCCTAACATATGAAACAGGAAAAGACCGCCATGTAATCCACTTATTTCAACAAAGTAACTGTATTCAGAATACCACCTTTTTAAATGGTAACTGTAACAGAATACAGTTACTCATATTTTGTATTTTAAATGCATAATGCTGGTACATGTATTCTGTTACTCCCCAACACTGCAGGACATACCTGCTGCAGCCGCACATATTACAGATGACACTGTAAACACTAGACTGTGCACCACAAATCTCATTGCACAGGTATCATTAGGTACAGATGGTGAATATGAAAGTACTCTTGGGACTTCTTTGAACCTCTTTGAATGAGGTTTAGGAAGGTGATAAGCACGTGTTGTAATGTGGACTGTGGTAGCTGAACTAATACATACAGTCTGGTACAAATGTATTCGGACGATGACACAATGTTTGGAATTTGCCTCTGTACACCATCACGGTGGATTTTAAATCAAACAAACAAGA